AAAATCTTATAAAATTCACTTTAATTCTCAAAGTATTTGTTTCTGCAGGAAATSCACAGCGAGAACAGGAGGTTGGGTAATGGGGTTTGGGCTCTGCTGGGGAGTTGACCTTAAATCCTAAAGTTTTCTAGGAGAATTCAAAGGGATGCTTTAGGAAATTATGCCAAAAATCCGGGTTTAGGGAAGGAATGGGAGTGGGAACGTTGTGCAGAGAGACCAAGGGCRAAAGCACAGGAATGAGGAGTAAAAATAGCAGGATAAAGATCATTCTGAGACCAAAAAATAGCCTGTGGCTCCTCGTGGGCATGTGAAACTCKGAGAGTGACCAAAATAACCTTAATGGAAAAGAAATCCAGGAAAAACAATCCAGGAAAAGCAATTCAGGGTGTTTCTCCAGAAAGGAGGAAGCATCTCCTTGTGAAGCAGCTTTTTACCTATCAAATTTAAAAAAAAAAAAAAAAAAAATCCCTCATTTTTATTTCCGTTTGATGGCTGGGATTAAATATCTCGTTTTTCAGGTAGTTTAATTTCTATAAATAGAATGTCTCCTAATTGTATCTCATGAAAACTTTCATTACAGATTTTTTTTTTATTTGGATTTGTTCACCTCACGATTTCTACCTCATCTCTAGGCAGCAGAGTTTATTGCAARCGTTTAGAAAACCAGATTAGAATCTTATTTGAAGTGTCAGGAAGCATCAGGCAGTTCATCGTGATTTCCTGCAGTTGCTCTCTCTCACAGATTTGATTTCCCACTTTAAAATCCACTTTATAAAGTATTTCTATTTATAAAATCCACGTGTGGGGGCAGAGGGAGTTTATGGGCTCAGCARCGGAGATGAGGAGTTCAGAAATAGCCCTGACTTGATTTTTCTGGCCTCTCTGTTCGTGTGTTTTGTTCTGGGTGGGAGATGAAATATTTCCTAAAACCGGCGTTTTTGCCATAAAAGCGTTTGGTTCCACTCATCCCATCGTGGATTTCCCTCCTGGGATATTTTAGGGTCAGTGCAGGGGTTTCAGCAGCTCCTTAAGGTGAGGCTCACTCCCAGGGTTTATTTTGTGGGGGATTTTCTCCTCCCTGGGATGGGATGGGATGGGATGGGATGGGATGGGATGGGATGGGATGGGATGGGATGGGATGGGATGGGATCCATGGGATAAAAATGGCCAAGATTGACCCCAAAGCCAATCAGGGTATAATAATCCGGGTTTGGAGCTGCTGAGCTGGTACCACGCAGGGCTTTTCCTGGAGCTCTGAGCTGGGATTGCTTCGTGAGTGCAGCCCAGAGCTCCTGTCAGTTCTCATCCCAACCCTGGGGCTTTTCTCCAAAACCCAGCAATGCTGGGCTCAGAGCAGGGAATCCATTCCTGCCGGGGGCTGTGATTTACTGGCAGGAACATCCTGGGAGCTGCTGCTGGTGCTGGGGCAGCACCTTCACCTTCATCTTCACCTTCATCTTCACCTTCAGAGCTTCACCTTCTTCTTCATCTTCAACTTCACCTTCAGAGCTTCACCTTCACTTTCCCAGCTTCGCCTTCATCTTCTGAGCTGTTCCTTCACCTTCACCTTCACCTTCACCTTCACCTTCACCTTCTCATCCATTCCTTCACCTTCATCTTCACCTTCATCTTCACCTTCAGCTTCTGAGCTGTTCCTTCACCTTCTCAGCTTCACTTTCATCTTCACCTTCACCTTCTCATCAATTCCTTCACCTTCATCTTCTGAGCCATTCCTTCAGCTTCACCTTCACCTTCTCATCAATTCCTTCACCTTCATCTTCTGAGATATTCCTTCACCTTCACCTTCACGTTCTCAGCCATTCTTCACTTTCACCTTCTCATCCATTCTTTCACCTTCACCTTCTCAGAACTTCTCCCTGTGAAAGTGGAGTGGATTTTTCCAGAGTTGGAGGTCCATCCGTGGATTTGGTTGTCCAGAAGGCGCTGCCAGGGTGAGGCTCTGCAGGGAGGGGTTTGTGATGAGCACCTCGAGCAGCTCTCCCTTCTTTCAGCTCTGATCAAAGCTCTCCTTGAGGGCGGCTCCCCAAATTCCCTTGGAGCAGCTCCGGGGTGCTCAGCCTGCCCTTTTATCCYTTTTCCTCCCTGCACACACATTTCCTCCCTTGGAAATGCCACCATGTGGCTGCTCTGCCGTTCTGGCTCCAAAATCTGTTTCTCCCTCTCAGGTTTTTCTCCCCCAGCATTTCCTGCCGATATTTTATTTGTCTCTGTTCAGACGAGTTTCTGTCACACCCACAACATTCCCAAATCCTGTTTTTACCCTTTTTTTCCCCYCAGTGTTGGCAGCATTCCCTGAACTTTACAATTCTCTCAGATGTTGTTTTCTCCTTCCCTGTTTGTGTCGGCCGTCAGGAACCAAACCCCGCTTTTTTTGGGGGGGTGGGAAGCTGTGATTCCGCAATTTCATGCCCGAAATTATTTTCTCACATTTTTATCTCAATCTGCCGAGACGTTTCAAGCTGTTGGATTTTTCCATCCTGCTCTTCTCCTTCGCTTTCACCACGCTCCATCCCTTTTGTGTTCACTGCTCAAAAACTGGGGGGAAAAATGGAAAAATCCTCTCTCCTTCCCTCTCCCAATGCCCCACAAAGCAGAAACTCCAGGCTTTGCATCCACTGGTTTCCYCCTGGGATTGCTGGAGTTGTTCATGACCAAAAAAAGGAGAAAGTTCCAAAAAAAAAAAAAAATGGAAATATTGAGGGGAAAGTTTCTGTTTCCCTTCTTTTCAGTTCCACCATTTGGTATTTTATTAAAAACTCCAAATTGGGCGATATTTAATCAATAAATCATGATTTGGGAGCTGGATTTTTCTGCACTGTGATCTGGAAATGGCCAAATCCTTCCAGGCATTTTAAATCCTTTTTTATTCACATTCCTTCATTTCATATTCAGCTCATCTCTGTTAATAATTCCTGCAATTAGCGTGAAAACCAGGTGAAATCTTGACATCCCTGATATTTTTTATTTATTTTTTTTTTCCATCACACATATTTTTCTCTGTGCCATCAACTAAATCGTGCCCTTTGCTAAATTCAAATATTTGCCTGGTGTGCCTGATATTAATGTTATTTTCCTGTGGCTTTGGGGMTGTTTGTCACAATTATTGCTGCTCCTCCTCGTGCGTTTTCCAGGATTTATGGAATCCATCACCTCTACAAGCTCCCTGTTTGTCAGAACCGACAGCAATTTAATAAAAAAACCGCTCCGTGCCTCGTTTTGCTTTAATTTCCCCATTAATCCTATTTTTTTTTCTCCTAAAAAAGAGGTCTGGGTAATAATTGGCTTTCTAATTAAGATTCAGAGTTTGTGAATGCAATTGAAGTGCTGATGTTTTTCCTTTTACTCCAGGAATAATTCCTTTGCTATTTAATACATCTTTCATTAATTTGTATATATTTTATTCCACTCTGCCACTTYGTGTTTTAAAATGTAGGAAAACCACCTTAAACTTGATTCCACTCAGCCACTTCACATTTCAAAATTTAGAATACATTATATTTAATTATTTTTTATATTTTTATATATTACTTTATATATTTTTGTCTATTATTTTATATAGTTTTGTATATTTTATACATTTTTTTGTATTCTTTATTATTTTTGTATTTTATTTTATATATTTTTGTGTATTATTTTATAATTTTGTGTATTATTTTATAATTTTATTGTATATTTATTATATTTTTTTATATTTTTTATTTTATTTTTATATATTTTTGTATATTTTATAGTTTTGTGTATTATTTTATAATTTTATGATATATTTATTATAATATATTGTTAATTTATTRTATTTTATTTTATATATWTTTTATTTTATTTTATATRKATTTTCTATATATTTTATCAGTCATTTTGTGCATTTAAATTCAGAATAGAGACCTGAGATTTGATGGTTTTATTTCCAAAATACCCCTGTGAGTGACACTTGTGGAACAGCAGGAATTCCATGATGGAGTCTGGGCTGTGCCTCATCTCAGGGAGGGTTTTTTCCATSATCTCCCCACCCCCAATTAACACAAATTATTAATTACCCTCCCGCAGTCCGCAGCAGAGTACGTGAAGTCGCGGCTGCCCGAGGTGCTGAAGCAGCACCTGCAGGAYTACGAGAAGGACAAGGAGAACAGCGTCCTGTCCTACCAGAGCATCCTGGAGCAGCAGATCCTGTCCATCGACCGCGAGATGCTGGAGAAGCTCACCGTGTCCTACGATGAGGCAGGTACGGCGGGGACTTTTCATCCTTCACATCTGTCACAAACGGCTCCTTTGCAATCTTTCTTCGTGCAGGTTGAACTTTTGTCCTCGTTTTTGGGAGGTGTTTTCGCCCGCTGAAGTCGGGCTGYGGTGGGAAATGTTCCCTGTGAGTGATGGGGTGCCAGGGAGCTCAGGGGATGGTTTTATTTCTGCCAGCCCTTGGTGCTCYGGGCCCTGACGTTGATTGATCTCTGTGTCTCTGCATCGTCCCTGGTCCCACCTGCTTTTTGTCCTTTTCTCCTTCACCAATAAYTGCTTTTGGGGCTTTTTTGGCCTGGGCAGGAACAGAACCTGATTTTAAATGTGCCCTGATGGGCAGCCAAACCTGGGCCATTCTGGGGGCATTTTAACCGTGCAGCTCCAGGGCGTTTCAGGTTGGATATTTGCTTTTCCTTCCATTTTGCTTTCAAGTCCTTAGTCCTTTCACAGAGTTCTCCTGAGGTTATTTCCAGTTAGATAAGAATAAAGACACAGTCAGTGGGAATCAACCATGAGCTGGCTCCACCATCCTGGAGGGCTTTCCCAGCTCAGTGATCCTGGGATTCTGTAGGAGCAAGGA